AACTATAATGCTAAGTTTTAATAGTAATATTTCTACTAGATTAAAAAAGATTAATAAGCGTATATAGTGCAATAATCAGATTTGTTTTCAGTATAACAATAAAAAAAATTGCATTCTATACTTTATTAAGTCATGTGTATGTATTATTACAATATACATATTACTATACATATTACTATACATATTACTATACATATTACTATACATATTTCACAATACCTCACTGGTTTAAATCTGATTGGAATCCTTTTTGAATGTGGTATGTATATAAAATTCTCTATATGTGTGTGATGAAAGGCCAGTGTGTTCATTAATGAATTGTTAAAACTTTCAAATTTATTGAAAAATATTTTCTTATCAAAATGATGTATAAGACTAACTAATTTTAAAGAGTACACTTTTTTTTAATATTATAATGCTTATAATATACATATATATATATACACACACATCATAACATTATGCTAGAAATCATGATGTACGATTCAGATTTTAAATAATTAATAATTTTAATTTATATCTGATAATCTGGTGTATATTATGTATCAATATATTTAGTATTTACTGTGCTCAAACAAACTTGTAATATATGCATTGAAATAGTTTCAGTAGTTTTTAGGTGTTTTACGTATAATCTTACATAATTTTTACTATACATTACAATCGGCTCTATAAAACAGCAATACACATGTGTATTTTTTTTAACGCCACGCAATTTGTGATTTGTATTTCGAAAATCATGGTACATATTAAATTTAAAAATCATAAGAATTTAATCATAGGAATTCATAATTTTCAAATGTTACACATTATTTCGAATGATTGTATGTATAATTTATATAGTAGGATTCTATATATTCAATACAATATTCTATATAATCAATACAACATTTATAATGATTTATATCCTTTAATCTCTTCAAAAAATTATTAAATGTTAAATGATAAACAACAAATATGAATTCTAAAGCTGTACATTCTCTATGCATTATTCATGAATTTCATACTGATAGTAAATTGCACATCTCAAATGAATCGAATATAATCTGGCGCTAGCTTTGTAACGTGAATGTGAATGAAACTACAAAATGTGATAGAAAACAGTTACATAAAAATATATCATTACTTGTAATCTATTACTATTAGATATATATTAAACATTTTTTTTCCATACTAATTCTATATTATAAATGTTTCTTTAAACTTGCGTACTTATTAAGATTGCATATATCAAAATATCAGTAATAATAATTTTTTTTGATTGAATAATTTTTCTATTTTTTTCTAGATATTTATATAAAAACTGAATACATTCAATACATATTTCTCTGAATAATTTGGAAATTAATTTTTTAAATTTGCATTAATTCTTATAGATAGAAAATTACGTATTGCAGCACAAATGTTGGAAATAATAATATATTTAGGACTTACATTTTCTTTTTAAATTATTAATTTAATAATTAATTATTTTATATTTTATTTATGTTTAAATTATTTGATATTTATTGTAACTATAAATTATTAGTTTTTTGCAGTTGATTTCAATATAACAATAAAATGGTATAACAATAAAAAATCATTAATAGGGAACAATGTTAATCACAAATATCTTTTGTGATAATAATCTTTTTTTATAAAAATGTTAAAACTGTATTATTTTATTTATGCTTTAATTTATTTTTAATCAAAATCTATTCATTTAATATTCTAAAGTAACAAATATATTTTACTTAAACATAATTTCTGATAACTTTTGCTACTTATTATCATTAAGTAATATAAAATGCATTAATAGCCAGAAAAATAAATTTTTATGTTAACTAGTAAACTTAACTAGTAAATGAATTTAAAATGAATTTAAAATAAAAAACGATATCATAAGAATATAGTGTGCGTTATATACGTAAGAAGTATTTGAGTGATTCGTTTATTATTTCTTTAGATATGCACAAATAAGTTTGTTATTATAAGTTAAATACATTTATATAATGTATGAAGTGTGTGATTTACTTATTATATCCCTAAGAAGATAATAAGTTTATCATTAGCTGTACAAGTTAAATATATTATAATGTATGAAATGTATAGAATTAATATAAACTATAACTTAATAAGGCTATAAAAATATTAATTATAGGAAATCTTATAGATTATTTGCCTTACGTCTATTGTAGGTACTGACTATAGTATTAACTATGCTGTTTAAGAATTTTGTGCCGTATCTTCAAATCTTATAAAGCTTCATTATAAGTGCCATGTATAAAAAGGAAATCCATGGTTGTCGCACAGATTTATATAGATTTATATGCTTTTACTTCTCGTGTTTTAGTGACAATTATTGCTTTTAGGATTTTTATACTAGATATCCGATATGATGAAAAATATTGGATATGCACTGACAAGGAAATTGGAACGAATATATGAGTTTTCTTGCAAAATTATTTTAATTTTTACAAATATCTTTGGAATGTATATTTTTTTTTAAACATAAGATTTCTTAAAATTCATTTTACGTATTATTGATTATATACAATTTTCATAATATAGAGCTCATTTCTTTTCCAATTATTTTGACATGTGCTATCAAAATTGAATATGAAATTTATATTGTAGTACATATGATTAATGTTTTATTTAAATAAACTCAAGAGACTGACATTGAATTATTTTTCTCATCTTAAAATTTTCATAAGAAATAATAGACAAGGAAATCTTGATAGAAAAAAATATTAAGTTGAATTAATCGGGGAATTCATAGGTGCTGATATGATTTCATTGTATCTTCTTAGATTGTGTACTTCCTTTTGTAAATGTGAGAGCTATGATATAAATCAAGACAATAATTTCAATTTTATTAATAAAATTTGAAATAAAATAATAGAATATACCTTTTCAATTTTAGTTTGCAGATATTTTTGTTTAGATTTAGGTGTTAAAATTTCTGAAGATTTTGTAATTTCAAGTTTTTGCAGAAATCCTGATAATTCTTGAATCTTCTGATTTATATTTCTGAAATACGACGAATAATATTTATTACTCGTTATATTATACATTAAATTATATTTCGGCGAAATATGCATTATTTAACTTACATTGATCTCAAACATTTCTTTTTCTGGTTATCTGCATAATCTCCCTAGCAATTAAGCAACAATAAAATAATTCTTATTAACTTTTCAATTCTATGTTCTCGACACAAAATATATTGAACTTTCATACCGCTTTTTGTGATCGTTTTCGTATGGCAGGATAATCTTCAACGTCGATTGCAAACGGAATATCATCTAATAAATTTAAATTTAATTTAAATTTAATAAATTTTATGTAATATGATAAAATAATATGAAAAGATAAAACATTTCTTTATATAATATAGTCAAATCTTCATATTTTGTATTCATATCTTAGTAATGAATACAAGTTTTTATTACATATAAAACGAAACGAAAATTTTATTGCAAATTTTGGTTTTTACTATACAGGAAAAATATTTATACCTTCATTTCTTTTCATTATTTTTTCCATGCTTTTACTAAAGCTTCGTTTGTCGCGTCTCCATTTCTTTACAGTGTTTGAATCTCTATGTATTACACAAAATAATTTATATGTATTATTTATAATTATTGAAAACAATTTAAGTATGGGTCAAAGGCTCCCTTACTTAATTCTTTGAATTGTTGCCGATTGTATGTTCAGTAAATCTCTTGCTTTAGAAATCCATTGCAGCCGCTGTTCCATAATAATATCAGTACCTTTACTTTCGCATCTAAACGCAAAATATCGATCGCATTTTTATATATAATTAAGATAATTATATTGTTTTTATAAATTAAAAAAAATTGTTTTTAATTTGCTACGATATGAACGAACTTCTGCAATATAGTATCTTTAAATTATATTAATTCCTTGTTGTCCTATTTCAGTATTGTCAAAAAATATGTGTAAAAAAATATAATCAGAATTTAATACGTAATTTAGATATCTAATCAGCTTTTTTAATACCCAAATAATTCTCTAAACATGACAACATGCTGCGTGAGTCTTTCAGCTGCATTGGTCGCAACTGCATTCTACGCATGTCTTTTGTAACAATATCGAAAACCAGTTCCGAGTGTTCAATATTCCTGTATTTCTTTTTGTCCTCGCTGAATATCACGGAACAATGCGGTTTTGCGAGCGCGATATGTTTCGTCTCATTACTAATCGTCTTAATTCTACATTCTCTTTCGCGATAATGCTTATATGTAATCAATTCCGTAACGTTTTGCCTAATGTAACACGATCTGGGTGACGGCCCAGTTAAATGCAAGATTTTCGTATCCACTTCGGCGATCTCGTCTCTGATACAAATTCTCTCGACATCGCGGCACGAAGTTATCATTTTTAAAAACGCTTGCTCTCTGTCGCAATTTTCGTCCTGATTATAATCTGTCTTATCATCACCCTCATTCTTGATACTTTCATCTTTGTATTGAACAACAGCAAAATTCTGTGCGCACGATGTGCAAAGAGAACACGCACTATTGTTACGTATTTCGCTAATACTGTTTACCAAATTTTCTAGAAAAGCATTATTATGCGTGTTGCTGTACCTGTTGCTAGGCTTGTAAGCTCTACTTTTCTTCCTGATTCCAGTGCCTTTGAACGAACCGCCGATATCGTTTGTGCTTTTTGATGTTTGCCGCGGAGCCTTTGATAATTTCCATCGCTTTTCGCGTGGAGATCGATAACACAAAATCATTGATGCTTTCGGTTCAATCTTCTCTAAAAATTAATTAAATTCTGATTAGTGATCATTGATTATTACAGCTTATTTTGCTAATCATTTCAAATAATCGGTATTAAGATTCGGCTCTCTCGAACAATCAACAAAGTTTTATAATGTCATTTGCAAGAAATGAGGTACAGTAATTTTCTTATGACGTATAGCTTTATTTTTTAGCTTTCCCTTAAAACATCATAATTTTGTGAAAATTTGTAAAATATGCGGACAACTAAAACATTTAGCCGATCTGTTGATATAGTGCGTTATTTTAAGAATTGTTTTACACTTCTACATGACAGATTGGACAGATATTTTCTTACATATTTGATAAGTTCCAGGATTATAAAATGATTATGTTTTTAAGGGAAAATTAAAAAATTAAAAGAGTTATTTATCGCAAGGAAATTATTACGTTATTCTCGCTTATGATGTCATAAATTATATAATATGACTGCAGCAGAGAGTCGAGTCTTAATTGTAATAGATTTGTTGTGTGCATGCTTGTAATATGATAAAATTAAAATGAAGAATACGCAAATTTGAGATTCTTACGTTTTATAAACGTTACGGGCTCATTTGGATGTAATTTATTCCATTCAGATCGGAGATAGTTAAGAATACTTGAACATCCTAGAGCTATGATATCCTTTGGAGGCACAATGATAGGATTATGTGCAACATTGAGAGTTTTAAGTTTTGGCACCAAGCCTAGAAAGTTTATAAAAATGAAAAAAGGAGAAAAATTACACAATTTACAATACAATTAAAGACAACTTCTTCCGGTCCCGCTTTAATCGATCTGTTCTAACCGGCTAGATCACTTACAAAGTTACTTACTTACAAAGTTCTAATGGCAATTTTTCGATTTTATTTTCTTGCAGCAAAATGGTTTCCAGCGAAGGATGCGATTGAATGCTCGTAGGTAAGCTCGTCAACAGATTATTTCGAACATCCAGCCATTGCAAATGTTGCAGAAAAACGAAAAGTTCCTTGGGAAGCTCGGTAAGACTATTATTTTCTAAATATAGCATCTAAAAGTCAATGAAATATTCTGTTCAACAAAAATGAGATAACGGTGATATGAATATTATTACCTTAGAACACAGATCTAAAGCACAAACGATTTTTCAAAGATTATTCTCATTGCATTCGTACTTGTATTGCGGGATATTTTTCAATCGTTTCAATAGGAAGTGACGTAAGGCCAACACTGGTTAAGTCTACAAAAGCCTCGTTGTATAGCGGAGTTCTACTTGGTGGTGGCGTCGAAGACGCGACAAATGTAACCGCTGACTTTTTCGGCTTCTTTTTTCCCGCTATCGAGGAAACATCTGAAGCACTATCCGGCAGCACATCTTCGCTCAGCGAGAGATACGACTCGTTTCCTTCCAAACCTTTCCACAGAAGATAAATATTAAAATGCATATTTAAATTATGTCGTCTCGATTTATGAGACGACATTGTTTTTTTTTTTTTTTTTTACTTTACCCAAAGTGCTGGAGCCGGTCTTGCTGTGTGCTGTAGTGAGAGCATATGTTTCTTTACTCGAGGAAGCGTATGTATTTTCATGTAAATTGCTCGTCGTATTTGCTTCAAAAATAACATCGAATCCGGATGACGTTTCTTCATCGTTTTCGAGCGATTCTAACACTCTCGAGGATCTCGCCGGAATGTCAATCTCGGAAGTCTCTTCCACGTTTTCTACATCGTTTTCCTGCATATATGATACATATATTTTATTATTATTATATAATATATATATAAAATAACAATAAATAAATAAAATAATAATAATAGTAAAATTATATTCGTACTTGCACTTCTGTTTCGCTGGACGTGTCGTTGCCGTTCGTATCCAATGTCGATTGTTCGCCATTCAGTTTGTCTTGATTGTTTTCTATGTTGCCCACACATTCCTGAATTGATAGTAACTTTTCAGCTTTCGAATCCTTGGAAATTCCGTAATACTGATCGAGAAGGTTTTCCGCGATATCGGACATGTCCAAGGTAAATAATAGATTTCTTTTGTAAACGTAATCGAAAAGATATATCAATAATATTTGTTGGCGATAGCAACCCCTCTGTTTATCTGTCACCTAGGCAACTGCCATCTTTCTTTACTATGCATTGCTTTGCGTTTAATAAGATTTTACTTTGGGAAATATTTGTTTATGTTATCTAATTTATAACTTTACGTATTTACGTATATATAATTAATTTTTTGAAAATTGAGGCAATCCCGGAAATCCTCCTTCCAGTGCGAGATATATATACGCGTTATATCCACTTTTAAAAGGAGCAGTCGATTATTTGCATCTCTCAAAATTTATTTTTATCTATTTTCAGTGATGCTGGTTGATTAACTCGCTGCGCTAATTTGGTGAATGGTTGTCATCGCGGAGATCGTTTTGATGTTGTGTTTAGTGTATCAAAAGATTAATAGTATAATAGTATTATAGTATTAATTTTAGTATTACAAGTATATTATATTTAGTATTATTAATATAATAGTATTAATTTCTGTTCCTTTTCTTTAAAAACATATACAGCGCGTTTGTATTATCTAGTAAAATTGAGAAAGTACTTATCTCTGTACATTCATAAAGGAATTGTGTGAGATCTTAATTGTTGACGCTTTACCGCGATGTTAATTGGTTCTTTCGCTTTATGTTAGCAAAGCATAACTGTTAAATGTTAATATTAATTCTTATGTGAGACTCTAAAATGTATATTTCCATGGATTCCTTTCTGAATTACCGAATAGAAATTTAAAAATATAAATACAGACTTATAATAAAATCTTCATTTCTACCGCACAACGGAAATAAAAAATTCTGATTGATTTATTTTCTTATGCATAATGCATTATGTGTTATGCAGAAGTGTGTGCTTCGGTTCTAATTACAATTCAATAAAAATCAAAATGTATATTTCCATGGATTCCTTTCTGAATTACTGGATAGAAATTTTTTTTAATTCTGTGCTATTTGAGATAGAAGATTATTATGAAAATAATAAAATATATAATAATCATATATCATAAAATAATCATGTATAAAATTTTTATTTAATTACAAATGAGATTGATTGTAAAATACATTTTTATTAAAAGTAATAAAAAAGTATTAATAGCAGAGACTTAAAAACAATATAAAAACTTAAATTAATTTATAATTAAAAATAGTAGTAATACGATTATGTATGTATATAGAAATTTAAAAAAATTAATATTTATAGTGTTTATAACAAATGTTTGTACATTTTTATATTTTTAATTATCTTGCAAAATTAAGTTAATGAAAATGGCTTAAATCTCAATATTATGACATTTAAAACATTATTAAGATGTTACGACAAAAAAAACATTTTAAGTTTTATTTTTTAGGCTAATTATCATTAATTCTTTACATCACTTTGATATCCTGCTTGAGTTTTCATCAATCATTTATTCGATCATATATGCACTCATCGTTATTAAAATTAAAGTAATTATAAAGTTCATAATCGTTACTGTTTATCATAAAATAATTCTCGGTGGTATCACTATAATTTTTTCTGATAATTTTTACGTGCGAGTATATTTCCTGTCATTGTTTAACGCTGCGATCAGAAATTTTATGGCAATGTGAGATATCAGTTCTAATTTAGGACAACACCTAAAAAATGTATCGCATGTATCGACTGTCAAAGATCGAACGCGCGTCAAATTCAAACGTTTTAAATTTTTGCACGACGCCAGTGCTTTCAAATCATAATCGGTAAGTCCTTGCCAATCGACTAAAGAGACATTTTCCAAGTATTGACAGGAGGAAACGAAATAACGGAAGCTTTTATTATCTTCAGTTTTATAATCGCTGGAAATAAAATAAAAACTATATTACAGATTTCCACAAAAAGAAAAAAACTGTGTTTCGAAAGCAAAAGAAACATTTTTAAATACTAATGAAGAAAGAAATGGACACTATAGAAAATTAAGATATACATTGAAGAAATTATGATACGTACCGACAATTAAAGTTTACTGAGATTCTTGCATCCAGAGAGTTCAACGAGATATCGCATTGTAGAAACAAATCTATTCCGATATTTCTTAGAGAAAAAGACTGAACGACTCCCGGAATACGCGACTGTCACGTATTCCATCTCAATGGAAACTGCTCAAATTTAGGAGGCAGAATGCTCTTACAAGCTCTAGAACCGGATGAAACCGGCTTCGTTTCCGATTCATTAGCGCTATCCTACCAACCGATTATTATACATATTTATTATTATTATAAACAAACTTTATTACAATATAAAATAAAATTTAAGTAAAAAAATGAACATCCACCTATTTTTTATATTGATTTATCACAATTAATTAATTTACGACTATATTTTGCAATTTTAGTATCTCTATTATTTAATAATATATTATCACGCTTTCCACGTGTTTAATACACATGCACTTAAATCAATGCACATGCAAAGTAAAAATATCGCTATTGGTTAGAGTGAGATGATATATTTCTTTCTTTCTCGTAGGATTTAGCCAAAACATGGCGGATTAGAATCTCTGATTGGTGGATCAGAGTTGTGGGTCAGTCTCTGATTGTGTAGTGTCTCTACTGTAGAATAAGCTTTATTGGAAAACAGCCAAAATCGACAAGATATGTTTTACTAATTCCAGAAGCCTTCGTTAGAGGCGCTTTTTTTCTGCTGTGATATATACATACGCTTTTCCATCTATTATTCATTCGTTTGTTGTTGCTCGTTATTCCATTCGGTTTAGTCGTGCTGCATTTGACGCCATAGTAGGTTGGTGGTCTCATCTTGCGACGTGATATTTGTGTGACTATCGGTCCCGCCAGAAGTCTGTGATATTTTTTTGTCGTGTTGTGATATCCGAATTTTGTTTTTACAATTCGACAGGTCTTGAATAACTTCAATATGTCGGATTCGGAAGGTAATTATCCTACCGATCAAAAACTGACATCGGCCAAGATGTAATGTAGGAAAGATTTATATATGACAAAATTGATTCGCAGGTGGCAGCGATGCGGGAAGCATCGGAGGAAGATCTCGTAGCGTCTCTCGCAGCAGGAGTCCCTCGCGGAGCTCGGCATCCAGAAGTCCGTCCAGATCTCGATCGCGTTCCCGATCGCCATCTGGGTAAGTCCAAATGCTTGGTGCGTCTTGATGTATTGCGAATTGTACTTGTATACGTAACATCTGTATAGTTTATTAATCAACTTGTTGACACGTGTACTTAAGTAACAGACTGAAATATTCTGCATATACATGCATCTTTTACAGTACATGTGACACGAATCGATAAATAGATGAAGAATAGATAAATAGATAGAATAGATAAATGCATTCATATGTACTTTACGAAATTTTTTAGCCTTTTTTAGCATTTGCATTAATTTACCTTTTTTGCGGACATAACGAAATATCGATTGTTCTGTAATTTTCTTTTTGGAATATAACATATAAATTTCGATAGTAAAGTATTTCTATAGTCTAATCTGGAAGAGGTGTTTCTCGATTATTTCTAGATTATTTTATTGAAGTTAAGAAAGGATTAAATATACTTGAATTAGTTTATATATGTAAATGTAACTCTTAATATCTTCCAGTGCTACAACAGTTTATATATATAT